CCCCCCACGCAGAGGGACACAGACGCCCTCGCTGGACGTGGGGCTCGGGGTGGCTGGACGAACCCTGGCACCACGTGCCCGGGAAGCTCTCGCACTCCCGAGGGCCTGCCCTGGGGGTGGGCCCACCTACACCCTGTTTTCCGCTGGCGCCTCCCTCACTCGAGTCAGTTTGGTCACGGCAAGGGCTCTCTGAAGAGCTTGTGGCCAGGGTGTTCACGAGACACCATCCCAGGCTGATGACCGTTGTTGGTCTTCCCACGGCCGGTGGCTCTTGCGAAACCCTGGACTTGTGGAGCAAAGAAAGAGGAAGTGCAGTCGGGGCTGGCCGAGGGGCGCCCGGGCCGACGTCCTCCCGCTCCCGGCTGCCCCTCAGGCCTGCCCTAGTTGGCACAGGGCGAGGTGGGGCGAGGAGGTCTGGCTGGTTCGCCTGCCCCGCCCTGCCTCCCCACGGCAGCAGGCCAGACCTGTGCCCGGGGCTCTGGGCACAGCTAACTGAGAGGCAGCAGCTCGCCCTCGAGCATAAGTACAGAGGCGGGTTCTGGTCATAATCGAATTAGGTGACAGAATTGCTGGGGTGATGATGACTGGCCCCTGTCAGTGGGCTCTGGGGGCGAACCTGCAGTGGGTCAGATGGTGGGGGGCCCGGGAGGGCCCACGTGGCCGGCTCTGTGGTCCCCGGGGGGGCTCCCGACACTTCCAGCAGGAGAATTCGTGCTGAGAGCTTGAGGTGTGGCTGTCCCCCGATCGTGACGGGGGTCTGCTGGCTGCTGTGCAGGGAAGCTGTACGGGAGAGGAGCCACAGACGACAAGGGGCCCGTGGCCGGCTGGCTGAACGCCCTGGAAGCCTTCCAGAAGACAAACCAGGTACGGGCTGGCCACACCCCGCGCGCCCCGGTCAGCCGCCGTCAGGCGCAGGCTGAACCTGCTGCCCTGGGACAGCTAGAAAGGCCGGAGGCCAGGCCCCGTGGCGCCACATTCCTGCGGCCGCCCTGTGAGCTCGGCCGGCTGTTGGCCATCAGAGGTCGTTTCCGGCTCCAGCAGGCGTCCGCGTCGTGCTGCACCACTGCTCGCAGGGCGGCACGTGGTGGCTCAGCAGGGAGCCAGCCGGAAGGAGACCGGGCGCGGCCCACCAGGGCCCACCTGTCGGCCGGGGCCGCCCACAGGCTGCACTCCTGCGCGGCGTTTATGCACCGAAAACCAAATGTTATTTCTCAAATTGTATCCGTCGACGGCGAAGCAGCTGCTCCTTATCAGAGCGTGCAAACTACAGAAACGGGTCCGACCCCAGACGCGCTCCCTCGCCCCGTCCCGCCTCGCGGCCTCCTGGCGGCCGAGCGCCATGGCTACCTCCGCGTGTCTGGCATCGTGCACGAGGCGGGGGCGGCCTCTGGTCCAGCGGCCACTCTGCAGGGCGGAGCTGAGCCTGCACCCGACTGGGCCAGTGGGTGTCGTCCGGCGCCACACTGAGCCGGGCCTGGGAGACTTGAAGGCGCTCGGGGCCGACTCTGAAGCCGCCTCGGTCAGGGTCACTCCCGTCCCTGCAGGCAGCCGGCCACCTTGGCACACAGCACGGGCAGACTGCAGGGCGCGGCGTGGCAGGCGGCGGGGTGGCGCCTCCGCAGGGCTCAGAGTGGCCGGAAGCTTCCCTGGCGAGGCCCTTCCCTGCAGAGGCAGCTCAGGCTGCGTGGGGCGGGTGGCCGGGCCCTCGACCCCGGGGCGGTGTCCTCTGGCCCGACCGGTTGCGGGCGGAGACGGGCTTCTTGGAAACTCGTGGCTTCAAGACCTGCACTGACCGCCGCGGTTGCAGAAAGCCAGCGCCTGCGAGCTGTGCCCCCTCGTGCCCCCAGGAGATCCCGGTCAACATCCGCTTCTGTCTGGAAGGCATGGAGGAGTCTGGCTCCGAAGGCCTGGACGAGCTGATCTTTGCCCAGAAGGACACGTTCTTCAGCGACGTGGACTACGTGTGCATCTCCGACAACTACTGGCTGGGGAAGAAGAAGCCCTGCGTCACCTACGGCCTCAGGGGCATCTGCTACTTCTTCATCGAGGTATCTGCCCGCCGGGCAGAGGCGCTGCCCTCCTCCCCAGCCTGCTCTCCCTGCCCGTCCACCGCAGCCAAGCTGCTGGGCTGGCCAGAACCTGCCGGGCAGGTGGGGGTCGGGGGGGCCCGGCTGGCCGCTCAGCCGGCCCAGGCCCTGCCCC